ACAACGGATGATGTGGCCACTTTGGTCGAAGCCATTGGGGGGTCTTTGGGTTCGACTGAGTTAGAAGAATGCTATGAATACTTTGAGAAGTCTCTGTGTGGAACAACTCAGAGGAATGATGAAAGCCATGGTTCTTTCCTGGCCCAATTTCACTGAACTTTTGTCCCGCAACACGACATTAGAAGAGGTGCAAGCATCCGTCCTGCTGCGGCAGCCAACACTCAGTGCTGAGGACAAGAAAAGAATCCTCCTTGAACATGAGGGTGAGCTCAACTACAAGCCAGTGGTCAAATCGTTTCGTTTGCTGGGCAGTCGCTTTTTCACTGAGTTCCAGACCGGAAGAGCCAGTGAGCGAACCAAAGTGTATGATGCCAATTTTCTGGATACTTCGGAATCTCATGATGCGGGTTCTTCACATGATTCTGGAAACTGTGAAAGAGCTTACTTCACCCATGCTAGCTCTGATGATGTGGAACCTGAACTTGACCAAGAGTTCATAGATGCCTTGGTGGCTCAGGACGATGCAGACGCCTTGATCGTGTCCACGTTTGAAGGTGAGTTCCAGGAGTTCTTGCAGGACACTCCTGAGATGTTCGAGGCCTTGACCACGTAAATCGAAGCGCGGTCGAAGTTGATTGAAAAGAAGAAATCAAGGGGATTCTGGCCCGTGAAGGGAAAGAACAAACATGGCAAAGGCAAAGGTAAAGGTTTTGGGAAGAGATCCAAAGACCGTGATGCGTTGCTTCAGAAGATTGCTCGCAGCCACTGCCGCCACTGCGGTGCCCTTGGGCATTGGAAAGCGGAGTGCCCATTAGCCTGTGGTGCCGAGAAGTCGGGTGGCCACCCCTCGACAGCATCCGCCAATGTGGTCATGGATGAACGTCCCCAGGAAGTTGTTGCCACTGCCGGTGATGTCGATGGGTTGTTTTCCGAAGATGATGATGAAGCATACGTGATGCCCTCCGTGGAAACCAGTTTGCAGTTCATCCCATGTCATGCTCAATGTTTCATGTTGAATCATGAGTGTAAGAACCGTAGTGTCGATAATCTGAGCAAACGCATGTCTAGCTTCAATTCCAAGAAGGTTCATGGGATTCATGGAAGTTCCCAACAAACCTGCGTCCAGGTGGGGTCAAGGGGAGTCCAAATGCCGCCTAGGAAGTGCCCTGATGTGTCACCATCAGACCAAGCTCCTGTGACCATGCAGCCGGTCATGCCGTTTCTCTGAGACCTATGCATCCGAGCAGGTTCACAGTAGCTTAGAAACCTTTTGCACCCATGCAATCTTGGACACCGGAGCTAGTCGTTGCATCATGGGAGATCGCACTCTGAAGAAATTACAACAGTCTCTTTCTGGCGAGATCAATGCCCGTTTTCGCAAGCAAGACAGCCAGGTGAAGTTTCGTTTTGGAAACAATCAGTCGTTGACCAGCATGTATGCCATCCAGATGCCACTGAAGCACAGAGAACAGACGAAACTGCGGTTGTCTGTAGATTGGTTCCTGGAGCCACCCCTTTTCTATTTTCCAAGAAGCTTTCAAGATGCTGCATGGCGCGTTAGATTCTCGAACCGATCAGTGTTTCATACTAAAAGTGCAGGACTCTCCAATCAAGCTCATGACCAGTCCCACCGGTTTGTATCTCATCAACATGCCTGACATTTGCGTGGGAAGCGAAACTGCAATGTTCCAAGAAGTTGCCAATGACATTCCAAAAAGCCAAGGCCAGGTTAGGAGTTTTGGGGTATCAAGATCCTCGACTTACCGAAGTCAACACAGATGCATCAAAGAAAATCTCCAGGGTAGTCAGGTCGACGTTATCAGCTGAAGCATTCTCCATGTCGCGTAGCGTAGACAAGATAGGATGGTGTCGATTGCTGTGGGGCACATTAATCATCCCTGAGTTCCAGTGGAGAAGTCCTCCTGTTGCAATTCGCCAGATGCATGCTGCCGTGATTGTCACAAATTGTAAATCATTGTTTGACCTTGTAAGCCGCAGAGCGATGCTGTCATGTGAAGAATATCGTACAACCTTAGAAGTCTTACTCATGAAGGAAAGGTGCATGGAACATTGTTTCTTCAGGTGGATTCCAACTTCACTGCGACTGGCTGATCCTTTGACTAAGAATATGGATTCATCGCTTCTTCGCAGTACTGGAACAAGGGGCATTTCAATTATTTGATGAGGCAGCAAGTCTTCAAACTAATGCACACCGGAAACAAGCTTTACAATGGCTGAAGGGATCTCATCAAAAATAAAGTTTTGGGAGTGTGATTTCCATTACACCTGTGCCTTTGATGTGATGTCCCTTTCTCCTGGCAGCATGTGATGATGTTACCATTTGCGACGCTGGTACCATTTGTGGTTCAGGCGATACGAGGAGGGCAGGGCTGTGGATCTAGGTCGCCGGACGGCCATGGAGCCTTGAGTGTGTCCAAAAGGGTGCTGCGTGATTTGGTGGTGCAGGGCATCCACTATCTTGTATCTCATTTGGCAGGGCCATTTCATTTTGGATTCATTGGCAGCTGACAGGGTCAACTTTTCTGATTTTGGTGAGTTCCTCCGCTACCAGCTGTGTCAGTCACAATATAATTCTACATATATATAATTATGGAAGGAAGTTTAGAAGTCAAACTTCCGACGATATGGACAGATGAAAAGCAGAGATAGGAAGAGGCAGAGACAAGAGAAGAGTAGAAGAGATCAGATCAGAGAAGAGAAAGAGTCAAAAGAAAGAAGATGCAGATGCGCGAAAAGGTAGGAAAGTCGCGAAACACTGTGTTTTTCCAATGATTTGTGGCTCCAGAGGGTCGAAAAGTAGGCTCGCTAAAGCGGCGCGTGCGGAGCCATCTGGCCAGATGAGAGATGAAAAATTGCACGCCGTTGTGGCGCGAAGCACATTTCCAAGTCAAAATGTACAAAACACACCAGGGTCGGAGCACTTTCGGAAGTCGAGATGTTGAAAAAGTGCACGCCGTTGTGGCGCGAAGCACATTTCGAGGTCAAAATGTACAAAACACACCAGCCTCGGACCACTTTCAGAAGTTACGATGTCGAAAAAGTGCACGCTGTTGTGGCAGGAAGCACATGTCGAAGTCAAAATGTACAAACACACCACGTATGGACCACTTTTGGACGTTCAGAGCTCGTTTCGCGTGGCAGGCACGAGGGATTGTGCACCTTCTCAAAATGAGCCAAAACGTGAAGGTTTTGTAGCATTGCCAAAAACGATGGCAGGCGTGGGACATCTGAAGAAGATCTGCAAAGATGCATTTTCCGTGGCAGGCGCAGTACAAGAGACATTTTCATCGGAGCTGTTCGGAGGTCAGGGCGCTGATTTCCTGAGAGGGGTTGCATTTTGGAGCATCAGATCTTCAGGTTTGCTGAGATGATTTCGCGTAACAGGCGCAGCACTTGGTACGACCTGGCATCACTTTTTCGTGGCAGGCGCAATAGTTTAGACAGATGGACTGGAAAAATCGCAAAACGCATTTGCGCGAGGCCGTCAGCTCTGCAGTCAACTTTCCATTTTTGAAGGAAGTCTCGCAGAATTGCTTCGTTTTTGATGTTGTTAAGGTCACAAATTGAGGAAGGAGGAAGTCTCGCAGAAGTGCTGCATTTTTGATGTTGTCAACTTGGAGAGATGAAGAAGTCTCGTAGAATAGCCAGGTTTTCAGGGTAGATAGATAGACAGGTAGATAGATAGATAGATAGATAGGCAGGTAGATAGATAGATAGGTAGATAGATAGATGCCTAGATACCTAGATACCTAGAAACCTAGATACCTAGATACCTAGATACCTAGAAACCTAGATACCTAGATACCTAGATACCTAGATACCTAGATACTTAGATACCTAGATACCTAGATACCTAGATACACAGTTTGATAGGCAGGTGAGATAGATGAGATAGATGAGATAGATGAGATAGATGAGATAGATGAGATAGATGAGATAGGTGAGAGAGATAGATAGATAGGTAGATAGATAGAAAGATAGAAAGATAGAAAGATAGAAAGAAAGAAAGACAGATAGATAGATAGACAGACAGATAGATAGATAGACAGATAGATAGGTAGCTAGATAGATGGATGGATGGATGGATAGATCGATAGATAGATAGACATGTAGATAGATCGATAGATAGACAGATAGATGGACAGAGAGAGAGAGAGAGCTAGATAGATAGATAGATAGATCGATAGATCGATAGATAGATCGATAGATAGACATCTAGATAGATCGATAGATAGACAGATGGATGGATAGATAGATAGATAGAAGCTAGCTAGCTAGCTAGCTAGCTAGATAGATAGATAGATAGATAGAATAGATAGAATGGATAGAATGGATAGAATGGATAGAATGGATAGAATGGATAGAACGGATAGAACGGATAGAACGGATAGAACGGATAGAACGGATAGAATGGATAGAATGGATAGAATGGATAGAATGGATAGAATGGATAGAATGGATAGAATGGATAGAATGGATAGAATGGATAGAATGGATAGAATGGATGGGTGGATGGATGGACAGATAGATAGATAGATAGATAGATAGATTGATTGATTGATTGATTGATAGAATGATAGAATGGATGGATGGATGGACGGATGGATGGGTGGATGGGTGGATGGATGGATAGGTAGATAGATAGAAAGATAGAAAGATAGAAAGATAGATAGATCGGTAGGTAGGTAGGTAGTTAGGTAGATAATCAGAGAGAGAGAAAAAAAAATAGATAGAGAAAGATGGAAGACATCAATCACCTTTCGATCCATCAGTGGCTTCGCTCTGCCATCAATGATTCACAACAACCAATCTATAGGTTTCCTATTTTTGAAACTTCCCTCACCGCCTTGTGCGGTACTACTGGTATATATATATATATACATATGTATTGTACGATGGCATATGCATGATGTATGCAATCTGTGCAGTATATGTTCTTGGTACACTCTCAAATTCAGTTGAAACCATCAGAAACTGACCTGGATTGGAGCCATCTCGGCACTCTCCAAACTTCTCCATGTACTTGTGAAAGGCCTCCTTCTCATCCTGAAAATCAGTTTGCAAAAAACATGCATTTTGTAAAGGGTGGTTTGAGCCTCAAGAAAAATGAGACCCAGCTCCTATCAAAAAAAAATGTTCTAGAGCAGCAAGTTCTCATCATTTGATATCTCAAGTTGCGCCTCAGTTGGCTCCTTTCCAGCTTCCACTCTCTCCACTTGCACAGGTGTGCTGCTTCCAGACCTAGAAGATTGAAAAGAGTTGACAAGGACAAGAAACACCTTCATGTTACAAAAGGCTATTATTATCATATTATATTTTGGGGTACCTTATTTTATCTCTACATTCTACTTTCTGCCAAGCTACTCACTCTCCTCCGGGCTCTCCACAGTCTCACTGCAGGTAGTTTCAACTGCCTCCTCCACCTCCCAAACTTAGCCATGATGGCTCTTGCCAGCGGAAAAAGAAAATCAGAGCACTGGATTTCTCCCATCCCCCAAATATCAAATACCCCTACCCGAAAATCGATAGATCCAATACTAAGAGTACTAAACCCCAGTTTCTAGGAGGGTATAAGACTTATAAGATTGTTTTAAGGGGATGGGATTTGTAGAGACAGAGCGGAACAGAATTCAACTCAGCCTTCTGTGACAGCAACTGTGAGAACTTTCCCGCAGCCCGTGGTCGGCTCTGCGGAACAAGCAGGTCCTGGCGTCCAGTGGTGGCTTCTGGCACCACAACCAGGTGGCTACATTTTGTTTCGTTTCAGGCACTTGAATGGCAAAAAAAGATGAAGCACATGAAGTCTGAAAAAAACTCAAATGGTTGCTCTTTGCCAACAACACGTGGCAAATTTGAAGATGTGATCATTTGCAAGCAAGGTATATACAGTCTTTGCAAAAGTGACTAGTGATTGGGCTCTACCTGTCAATGAAGCCGACTTGGGACATAGCCACCGGGCAAGCAATTGGCCAATTCGAGGGGCAACAAACGAAAGGTCCCTTCTTTCCGCAGCTTGGAAAATAAATGCAAGCACCTTTGCTCTTCATTTAGCATCGAGAAGTTCCTCGAACTCCTGACTGCTACAGTTGCTACAGCTCTGACCCCGCCTTACCACGGAGTTTGGATGAAACCCAACCGCTTCGAGGACCCTCGCCCCGGATCAGTTCATAGCAAATGCGGCCATCCCTGTTCTCCATTTCCTTGCAGGACATGCTGAGCCATGATGAAAAACCCACAAAATCTGACTTTGACCAATGTTCTACGCAAAGCAACCATTTTGTACCAAGTACCTACAAAATCCTACAAACACAGGCTTGAAATGCATCACTTGACACCTCATGACCAAGCACTTAAATCTGGTCATGAGCAGGGTAAACCAGGGTAAACTGAAAATGTGACCACGCGCATTCGCAAAAGATTGGATCAACGTCGACCTGGTCGACCCCCTCCAGTTGATTCGTCCCCACCTTCACCACAGCACCGGTGGACAAACGCGTCTCTGCCAGCTCCGATGACAGCTCAAAGCCAGAGCGCACCAAAACACCTCCGTGGTCTGCTCCACCTACAACCTGCCACGTGGATAGCTCACTGTCAACGTCACATCAAATTTATGAAATGTGAATGAAAAGTGCCAAACAAAGTTTCCACTGTTTGAAAAGGAGCCATGGAATTTTAGAAAAGTGCCAGCTGCCTCCCAAATCATTGCCATTTTGGGCACAACAAAGCAGGAACCGCCCAATGCTAGATGTTTGGAGCTGGAGCCAACATCAACAGCCGAACAGCATGCCAAATTCTGAAAGGAACCAAAATGTGCTGGTCTCTTAATCCAAAGTTTTGGCCCATCCAATATCCAATGCTTCACTTTTAGCAGTCAAACTGACTCGCAGACTCACTTGCTTTTTCTCGGAAATTCATTGCATTGGTATGGCGGGGAATGCATCGCGGAAAAACAGCACGCCTTTCAAACACTCGAACGACCAGCCACCTAATTCTTCACAACTGCTTGGACCTTAAACGTGTGCGATCATGAGCTTTCGTCCAAACAGCCAGGCATTGCCATGCTTGGTAAACTGGTTGGCGTTGGATGCATCCCTTCACCCTGGCTTTCTAGCTGCCAACTTTACATGAAGTAACATGAATTTGAGAAACTCCTATCTGTTGCACTTGTGGCTGGAGTATCCCTTCTAAAATCAAGATTACTAGCCTCGAAGGCAAATCATTGCCATTTTGGGCACAAAGCAGGAATCGCCCAGTGCTTAGATGCAGGTTAGATGCAGGTTGGCACGTCCTTGGCTCTGCCCGCTTTGCCCCACTTGCTCCAAAACTGCCAAATTTCTCCTCTGCCATCATCAGCTAAGCTCCACTTCAAGAGGTTTCCGACTTCTTCCATCTGACGAGCAGCATCTAGCTGAAACCAAGTGGATAACAGGCCAGCTTTGTCAAAGATAAGCTTCTGTAACTTCTGGTTGAACACATTCTTGTTTGGTATCCTACTGAGAATGTAGTCAACATCCTCGGGGCGAGACGCTTCCATGTTCTCGACCTTCAAGTTTTGCAAGCTTTCTTTTTTCATCACCAGCAAAGGCCTGGAATGCATCTTGACGTGTTGCTTTAGATGTGTTTCATCTGCCTGAACGAGCTCAGCCACACACCATGCTCTAGTAAATAACCCAAAAGCTTGATCAACTGCAACAATCTGCGCAAACTTTGGATTGCCAGCTGCCAGCAAGGCCATCATGTCATCAAATTTGTTCATCTCGCAGCCAATACTCCGGCCATCTGACAACGGAGGAGTTGCATTGAACATCTTTGGCAGGTTGCAACTGCACGTCTCGTGCACTTTGCCTGTGACGGAGTCACGGTCACCATTGGGGTTGCCTCCACAAATTCCTGCGTGCTGATTCACGGAAAAGGCACAAATCCAGTAGGCTGTGCTGCCAGTGCCCAGATTCTCCAACATTGTCTCAAGGACTGACACATCAGAGTCCAGCACTCTGGCGACCAAATCAAAGCTGTTCTCATGCACCGCATCTGCAATGACTGCTGCGACCAGATCTCGAAACTTGTTTTGCCACGAGTGCGTCACCATCCGGTCAGGCTTCACTGGGCCGCCTCCTGCCATCAGCGCATATGCACAGCGCTGTTCTCGGGTGGCAGGGATGATGGCTTGTCGAACAACATCATTGGTGGTGTGTTTAGAGGCGTCATAATGTGGCATGAGGCTGCTACCCAATTTCTTGTAGAAGTCTAACAATCCTTGAGCCGTGATGCCTCGGCGGGACAAGTCAGTCACCTTCTTTCGCCACTCTGCTTCCATGGACTCCTTGCAATCAGAGTCGACACTGCATAGTCCGATCAGTTTGGCTTCCAACTCTCCTTCTTTGAAGTAACCTCCACTCAACAGACCCAGGAGTGCTGCTGCCAGTGCAGTGCACAGGATGCCCAAAGCCAGTTCCCAGCCACTGATCTTTATACCTGCAAGCACCAAACCGACTAGAATAGCCATCAGAAATGTGATCACACAGCCCTGGAGGTTGCTCACCCCATGTGCATTGGATAGAATCCAAGCTCCTGCCGTGTTGCACAACAGCAAGGTACTCTGAGCGAGGAATCTCAAGGGATTCTCGGCCTTGACAAAAAAAGCAAGGGGACGTCCAACCAGCACTGTGGCCATAAATACCAAACGAAGACCCCAGCTTTCTGTCAGTATGGCCTTCTGAGCTGTCCGGAAAGCGGCCTGGCTTTTTGCGGTGCCACCTGAGAGTTCCACCAAGTGTCTCGTGGTTTTCAAATGGCTATAGACATGGTTGCATGCTGACAGAATTTTGCAGTAGAACCAGATGATGCCAAAAACGGTGATCGCGCTCAAAACCTGGATCACAAGTAGCCAACTCGTCATGGAGTCAAAGGCCGTGTTCGTATTCGTGGCCAGCAACGTTTTCACGAGCTGCATGAGCGTGATCACAAGCACAAGCGTGTTCAAGAATGCATACACCTAATTGTGACAGTTGACCTACTCAAAACGCTTAAGCCATGTTTGGTTTTATCAATCTACATCACCAAACGATATTGGAACTACAATAAAAAGTGCCACACAGCAACTGAGGAACAGCGCAAAATTGCAGAACACGACGTTTCATGTTGGGAACCGGGATGAGTTGACAACCCGCAGTAGTCTGGAGGGACTCCAGACGTTCGAGGGGGAGATAAAGAATCCAGCACGTCTGCACGGCAGCAAGAGGTCCAGAAAGAATCAGAAGGACTCCCACGAACGATCCGTCCATCTGGGCCAAGCCTTTTGTGAGGAGGAAATGCTCTCCAGTCTCGAATAAGCCAACAAGCCACGTGCAAAACAAAAAACCAGCTGTTGACCTTGAATTTGACGTGGAAGCCCTATTGAAGAGGTGGGCCCCTGCAAAACCTGCCACTAAGCTGGAACATATCCTTGACTGCCGTTCAAACAAAACCAAAACCCAAACCTTGCAAGATTCCAGAACACTTTGGGGTTAAAAGTTAAAACCAAAAGTATAGTTCATACGCCAAGCCGCAAAGACACAAATGAAATCTCCCACTTGTCTGGTACAGGCAGTAGCGCTGACACCGAGAGAACAATCAGAAAAGGAACGGACATGGTGAACAACTGAGGCCCAAAGATATCTTTGCAATCCACTGCATCATCCGCATCAGGCACATCTGGCAGCTCGACTTCTATCTCTGCTGGTTTTGATTTCGCCCTCTCGACATCCGGTCCCGTAGGCCGAGTGTGGCCCAAAAGCGTTGGCAATGGTTCCGAAGAAGCCGTTGAGACCGACTGTGATGCAGTGTCTCCACTTTGCTGGTTTCCCATGGGCCCTTTCTCTGCGTTCCAGGCAGTTTCAAGTGTGACAATAATGTCTGAACCAAAAAAACTGCGAGTGGCACTCTGGTTTGACAACTGAGATGCTTTGAAAAGTCTGCCATGTTGATCAAGACATTTTTCGGAACCCCAAGTGTTCCAAGAGCCCTCAAAAGTTTGCAAACCAAAATCGTTGCAACAGGTTTTTTTTGGTCACAACTCAACACGAGTTGCGACAATTTGTTAAAACACAATCCGTACGTCACCGGGTTTTAAAAATGTGTGTGAATGCAATGTATGATTTTTCCCCAAGTAGCGAAGCTAGTGGGATTTTCACTTCAAAAGTAAAGGAAGAGTTGAAAATCTGCGTTTTGGAGCGGGCACGTTGGTGCCGCTGCAGGCTGTCGCTGCACGGTGCTTGAGGGTACTGCTGTCACAGTGGCGTGTGCGCTTTGGTGCTGGCCTACCGGTGCCGTTGCAGGGTATCGCTGCAGGCTGTCGGAGCTTTGAGGGCGCTGCTTTTTGGAGTTGCGTTTGCGTTTCGGATGTGGCCTGCTGGTGCCGCTACAAGGTGCCGCTGGAGTGTGCTACTTGAAGGCGCTGCTGTTACAGTGGTGCGTGCGCTTTGGAGCTGGCATTTTGGTGCCGCTGCAGGGTACTGCTGCAGGGTGCTGCTTGATGGTGCTGCTGTTTGAGTGGCGTGTGCGTTTTGGTGCTGGCCTACCGGTGCCGCTGCAGGGTATCGCTGCAGGATGCGGGGGGTTTGAGGGCGCTGCTTTTTAGAGTTGCGTTTGCGTTTTGGAGGTGGTCTGCTGGTGTTGCTGCAAGGTGCCGCTGGAAGGTGCTACTTGAGGGCGCTGCTGTTAGAGTGGTGTGTGCGCTTTGGAGCTGGCATGTTGGTGCCACGGCAAGGTGCCGCTGCAGCGTGCCGCTGCAGGGTTGCTGTCAAAGTGCTGTGTGCACTTTGGAGTTGGCGTGCTGCTGCCGCTGCAGGGTCTGCAAAGAGTGGTGTATGTTGGTGCAAGGGGTGGCTGCGAGATATTTATGGCAGTCGGCGTGACCCTGACAGATGGAGATTGCCTTCATGCCGTAGCAAAGAAAACGAATGCTGGTTGCCACCATTTTTTCCCGAGTGCGTAGCAAGGTTCCCGGTTCACTCTGGGGGTCTGGGGGTTGAGGGTGTGTTCGCTCGACGTCGCACAACCGTTCGCAGCCGCCCGCAACCGCCCGCAACCGTTCGCAGCCGTTCGCAACCGTTCACGTGAGGGCCGTATGGCCGTGCCTATGGCGAGTTCTGCAACAGCGGTCATTTTTGGAGGTTGCAGACGTCGCGTTGCCTCGTTTCGCGTGGCATGGGTGGCACTTTGTGATATTCCAACATGTTTCATAACAACAGCGGTCATTTTTGGAGGTTGCAGACGTCGCGTTGCCTCGTTTCGCGTGGCTTGGGTGGCACTTTGTGATATTCCAACATGTTTCATAACGTGTTGAAAGCCGTTTTGTGTGGCAGGCACAACACTGCTGGGACGTTCTTAAAAGATGCGTTCCAGTTTTCGTGGCAGACGCAGCACTTTGGCAACCTCCATCGTCATTTCGCGTGGCAGGCGCAGCACTTTAGACGTGTCATGTTGCGTGTTGTCCGAATCGCATTGTCAGGGCTGCATCAAATGGCGACAAGGTGCAAATTGCGTGGCGAGTGTGGCATTTTGTGCGATGTGCTGAAAAGTGACGGAAACCTCGCACGAAACACCGATTTTGAGGTAGCAAATTTTGAGGTTCATAGGAAAACTCGTGGAAAACGTCGATTTTGAAGCTACACAGTGGGAAAATTGAAGGATGTCTCGCACGGAATTTTCGTTTTGATGCTCCAACCTGTCTCGTCTCGAGTCTCTGGTTTTCCTCTGGTGTCGCCGTGTGTATGGGGGAAGCTCCAAAGCCTATCCTTTTTAAAGGTGTCAAAGCAGGTTGTAATGCCGTTTTGCGTGGCAGGCACGGCACTTCCTGACATTCACGTGTCTGCAAACGTGTCGAAAATCGTTTTGTGTGGTACGCGCAATACTATTGCGACGTTTTCAGAAGATGAGTTGCATTTTTCGTGCCAGGCGCGGCACTTTGGAGACCTCCATCGTCATTTTGCATGGCATGCACAGCACTACAGTGATAGTGCTTTGTTGAAAACTATCCAAGCAATTACTGAGGTTTTGCAACAGCGTTTGGATCCACCTTCCTCTTCTGCAGTGAACCGTGATTTATTTACCTGCGGCTTCTGGTGGGACAACTGGAAGTCAACCCAGTGGGGCCTCTGATCAAGGCCTCATCAAGCCGTGGGCTTGTGGGTTCACTCGTCGTTGGTGCGACAGTGCCTGTACGAGGAAGGAAGGACATTCTTTCCACTCGTGCTACGAGCACCGCCATAGGCGATGAGAAAAAGGTGGAAACTCAAGTATGGAGAAAGGGCTGTGGAAGTGGATGACAGCCCTACCTCCATGCCTGTTGGGATCCCTGGTGAGAGCACAGATGATTTCTTTGAGGAATTCAATGCAGTTGACCCCATCACAGACTTGGGGGGCTCTTTTGAACCTTTGGCCAGCTGCAATGTCACGAGGCCTAGTGCACAGGAAGCCATAACACCATTTGCATTTCCTCCTGCAGCGCCTAGAAGCTTGTTTATGCATGAGGACGCACAGGACTCTGTCAAGTACGTGGACAAGGGATCTACTCCTACCATGCAGGAGTCCGCAAAGTTTGAGAAAGTATCAAGAGCAGTTCCTCCTGGCATCGTCTCTGAAGCCTTGCGCCTAACAGACAAAAGGCCACTGCTTTATCCATGGGAGAAAGGACGACTTGGGCGTATCTTCGGAGAGCAAGGACGTCTGAACCTCAAACGTCCCAAACTCCACCCTGGTGCCAACAACTTTGTTCAAGTAGAGGTTGCAGTCTCTGAAGGGTTTCATTTGGATGGTGCCGTTTCAGTGAGGCATGTGACAAAGGACAACACTCTTTACAGATCTGTCGTCAAGAATATAGTTGGCTGCACCTACATGGAGGAGCGTGAAGCTCAACGAGATCATGCAATCAGACAGTGGTGGGATCTGCTGAGACTGAACCTTGCGATGAGCGATCCTGGGCGTGCAGCTGTGCCGGAAAAGGGTCTTGCAGATGTGTACAAGTATGGTTTGGTTTGGAGCTCTTGGATGCGATTTTTGGCTTGAAAAGCCCCAACACCCTCATGAAGAGGCTGTGCACCATCAAGCTCTACAACCAATGGCTGATCCGTCATTACACCGAAACTTGGTTGCCCATCAGTGAGCAGAAGGTCTGGGCATACATCAGATCATTGCGTGAGACAAAAGCGTCTGCCTCGAGGGCGGTGAGTTTGCTGGAATCGATCAGGTTCTGCCATTTCACGATGAGAGTGGATGGAGCACAAGAAGTGTTGGACAGCCTCAGAGCCAAGGGCTTGGCTGCACAATTGTTTGCTAGCAAGAAACCTTGGAGACCGTCAGATGTGCTCACAGTCAATGATGTGGAGTTTTTGCATTGGTGCTTCATGGACGAAAACAGATGTGAAGTTGATCGCATTTTTGTCGGTCACCTCTTGCACATGCTGTATGCTAGAGCCAGATTTTGCGACCTGCTTGCAGTCACAGAGCTCTTCATGGACGAGGAGGAAGCCTATTAGAACTGGGCACAACGCTCCACAAAGGGGCCCGGAGTGTTCTGGCTCAAGTAGACATTCCCCTATATGGTTTTATTTATTATTCAAATAAACAAAACAATAAACGCAAGAAACGGAAAACGCAATTGCCGATCACTCGCACTTTATATTAATTCTCTTTTTCGACTGCCAGAATTATTAATTGTCTTTGGATCCATTTGAACATATGTTTTGTGTCCAAATGTTCAGACACCAGACTGATGGTTGTTTTCCGCCATCAGAGAGCCAAATTTTTTGGCCCCATAGTAAAGGAGGAAGAGTGGATTGGAATCGCCAAATACACTCGAAACGCCGTGAAGTTCGCAACAAAACTGGTGAGTGAAAATGAGTGAAACGGATGTTCAGCAAATGAGCCACCTGTCTCACAAAAGGTGAGCGATAAAGAATGTGAAACGGGGGA